ATCTCACTAACTATGCTTGCAAGTGTGTGGGATATAACACTTTTAGAATGACGTTCAACAATTTTGAATCTGCCAACTTATTTGCCACAAATCCCAATTTAAAAACTGTTGGATTAAAGGCATACATCCCAGAGAGATTTGTTCAACGTTTTTATATTATCAAAAATGTACCTACGTGCCTTTCTGCAAATATTATAAAGGAAGAAATTATGCAAAACAATGAATGTATGGAAGTAGTCTCAATTTATCGCTTTACTAGGAAAAATGATTCTGGTTTAATCGTACCCACAGAAACTATAAAGATTGGTATTATTTTTGATGGAATTCCTACGAAAATATATATGTGTGGAACAAAAATAACACCGGACTTGTATGTACCACCTGTTCGGCTGTGTTTAAACTGCGGCCGTTTAGGCCATATTGCTCTTCGTTGCAGGTCGACGAAGAAGTGTCTAAGCTGTGGAAAAGAAATTCTATGTGCTACAAATTGCAGTAAGGAAAATAGATGTTTAGATTGTCGTTCTACAACAACCTGTAAAGAACTATGCATGTCTCCAAGATGCATACTTTGCAACAAAATAGATCATCTTGCAACAGATTCCAAAAATTGTTTGAAGTGGAAGTCTGAAAGAAATATTAGCAGCATTATGGCCCTAACAAACCTATCTAGAAGGGAGATTCTCCAAAATTACCCAGAAACAAGAAATCGTTTCCAAATTCTTTCTGAACGTGATTTTAATAATGAGTTCCCGCCTCTCTTAACAAACAGGACTCCAAAAATTAATATACATGATGCAATTAACAAAAAAATTACAAGTATTAAATATAGCAAAGTTGCGGCTCCAATAACGAAAAATCAACATGCCATTGCAAGCCCAATTCATGTAAATCCAACCAAAGCAGTTTTTGATCATCAAAATTTTTCTAAAGTTACTGAAATAGAAAGAGCATTAGCATCATTTTCAAGGCAAATGTCCACAATACTTACGTCTCTTAACTGCACAGAAGGTCTTGATGTTTTAAAGAAATTTCAACAAATAGTCATTCCAGCATCAGCAAACAACCAAAGCCCATATACATCAGAAGCCAATGAAGAAAGCCAATTAGTAACATCCTGAAAAAGATAAAGTGTGATCAATCTGAAATAACTGCAAATAAATAATAATAATTTTTTTTTCAATTATCCATGAACATCTTACAATACAATATACAAAGTCTTAAAAAAAACAAAAACTCTCTGGACTTCCATTTAAGAAAACTGAACATCGATATATGCTTCCTGAGTGAAATTTTCAATATAGATGAAAAACAAAATTCAACAACTTTTCAAAATTATAATATAGTTTCAAAAAAGAGAAAAGATAATTATGGTGGCGTCGCGATAGTTTTAAAGAAAAATATTCAGTTTAAAAGAATCTCTTTTCAATCAACACTTGACATACTAATTTGTCAAACCACTAATTTAAACAATAATCTCACTTTAGTTGCTGTCTATTTTCCACATTCCGTAAAAAGCATAACCATTAAAAATGAACTTGAAAAAATAACATCCTTCCTCAACTCCAATCCAAATACATTTATCTGTGGCGATTTTAATGCTAGACATTCGGCCTTTGGTGATGTTTTTGATTCGCAACGTGGAAAAATGCTTAAAGAATTTTTTGACTATTCAAACTTTCGATGTTTAAATGATGGAAGTTACACTTTTAAAAAACGAATCAATGACAATACGGGATCTGTTTTAGATCTATCATTTACCAACTCAACTCTGTCACTATCCTGGAAAGTTCAAAAAACAATAATTGGAGGAAGTCACCATCTCCCAATAATTCTGAAATTGAGCGATACTATTTGCAACGGCAAAAAGTTCTTAGCGAAAAAAAAGCTTATAAGAAATCTTGCAATATTAAAATTAAATCCGGACTTCGAGGAAATCAACTTCGCCATGCAAGCTGAAATCAAAAAAGCTACGTATGTTATTGATAACAAAAGAAATCCAAAACCTTGGTGGGACCCTTTTGTCGAAAAACAATTCAGATTGCAAGTAGCCGCGCAAAAGAAATATGATTTGCATAGCAATGACACTAATGCTCTTAATCTTTTCCAAGCCATTAAAAATTTTAAAAACGCCACAAAATATGCAAAACGACAATCTTTTAAATCAAAAATTACAACTTTAAATATGGAGCCTAACTCAAAATCATTATTTCGTCTGGTAAAAGGATGTAAGAACAGTTTGTCATGCAATAACGGTGGGAAATGGTCCGAAAATAACAACAAAATATTTTTAATACACCTAAGGGATCAAGTCTTGAACAACAGCCATATTACCTTCCCTCCAAACACGCAAAGAACACCCGTCGAACTCACAATGGAAGAATTCTCATCTGTCTTAAACAGAAAGAAAAAACCTTCAGCAGCAGGATTAGATGGCATAACATATGAGATGATAAATAACTTATCAGAATCATCTAAATATAATCTTTTTCAAGCAATGAATACAGCTTGGAAAAAATGTGAACTAAGAGAAAATTGGCGAAAAATCAAAATTGTTCCAATCCCAAAGAAAGGAAAAGATCTGGAAATATTCACAAATTTTCGACCAATATCATTAATATCAGTTTTTCTCAAAATTATAAATCTTATGATCAAAGAAAGATTACAGTCATTTCTTCAGGAACAAGATATTCTTCCGACCAACACATACGCATACAGGAAAAACTTCTCTTCATCCATGTGTATCAATCATTTACTATACACAATAAATTATCATAAGGAAAAAGGAGAAAAAGTAATTCTACTGTCTATAGATATTGAAAAGGCCTATGATTGCGTAAATCTATTAATTCTTTATAAAATTTTGTCCGAGATAAACTGCCCGGAGGATATCAAAGATTGGACAATAAACTTTCTTAAAAAACGCACAATTGTTATGGGCAATGAAATGATAGATATATATAATGGATTACCTCAAGGCAGCTGCTTAAGTCCAATACTTTTTAATATATATACGCTTGGTCTACATGGAATTGCAGATCAAAACACATATTTATTTCAATTTGCGGATGATTTTATTTTACTATCCACTGACAAGGAATTTGAAATGGCAAATGAAAATCTACAACATAAAGCGAATCATTTTTACCATATTTTATCCCGCTTGAATCTTAAATACAACCCTGATAAAACCTTCGTCATGTATGTAGCAAAAGGCCCCCGTAAAATCCCAAATATAAAGTTACAAAATACAAACATAAACTCTGTTGAAAAAATAAAATTTCTGGGAAGATATATTAAAAACAGTCTATCGCTAAAGGAACACTATGATGAAGTAATGAATTCCTGTACCAACTCACTAAACGCATTAAAAATGATAAACAACGCCAAAAACGGATTACTCCCAAACATATCAATAAATTTAACAAAATCCCTAGTGTTCTCTAAGACAGAATACGCAATATCATCTATGGCCCACATGCCACAATATCTCAACAAAAAGCTAACTAGCTTTCAAAATCAAATGCTTAGAAGAAGCCTTGGACTTACCCCCTCCACACCAATACACAACATCTATGCACTGGCTGTTATGCTTCCTCCTGAACAACGTTCTCAGTATCTTGCAGCTAAAGAACTAATAAAATTCAAAATGTATAACAATACGCTGTACAACTGCATCACCACAGATTCCTCTGTAAAAACAAGTTTGGGTTTTATCTACAACAAATTTAAACACATCCTTGACCGAACTATGGTAAATCAAAAAAGGATACCTTCAAAGAAAATAAGCTTTTTAGATGATCTCTTTAAGGCAGTAAAATACTCCAAGTCCAATGAATTTTTTAGAGCAATTCTTCAAGAAAAACTAGTCTGTCTAAAAAACCAGGGTCATTCCATATGGTCAACTGATGCATCAGTCACAGACAGTAGTACAGGTTGTGCGGTCTGCAACATATCAATGAAACAAAATTATGCTTTCAGAATAACATCAAAAACCTCTTCTCTAATGGGAGAACTACATGCCATAAATAAAGCAATTGATATAATGATCGAGGAAAACACGCTCAAAGCAGTCATTCTTACGGACAGTAAAAATGCCTGTCTTACACTCAAGACAAACACACACCATAATTATCTAGCAAACGACATAATTCACAAAATAAACAATTCTAACTTACAATCTCTTATTTTCATATGGACTCCCTCGCATATTGGTATACCAGCAAACGAACTCGCAGATTATTTCGCCAAACACGCAGCCACAGCTGGCTGTATAATCACCACCAATGCTTCAATTACAGACGCATACTCTGCCATTTATGATCATCTATGGAAAGAATGGGTAGATAAGTACAAGGATGCATCCGAAACTAAGGGTACTTACTTTTCACAATTCTTCAACACACCACCAAAATCTTACTGGTTCACTGGCTCAAAGATGTCACCTGGTAATATAAAGCTAATAAATCGTTTACTCACTGGACACACTTATGGCAAAATATACTTACATCGCATTAAAGTCGAGGCCTCGGACATCTGCACACTTTGTGGAATCACTGAAAGTGAGGATCACCAAATTTTTGTTTGCCCAAAATTCTGTAACGAAAGGAAACAATTTAAAATCTTCGAAAGGTACAAGGACTTACCATCAATTTTAAAAACCTTCTCGCCAGAAAACTTCGTCGAACTATCAAACTTCATTCACAAATGCAATCTTCAACTCTAATTTTCTCTGTGAGATAGCAGAAACATAAACAAAACAAAGAATACGATTATTAAGTAATCAATAACCTAGTAATTTGGCATATGTGTACTTCGGGTACCTGCCAACCATGACGAAGAAGGAGAAAGAGAATCAAAAAAAAAAAAAAAAAAATATTCTTCTACCATGCATAAAAGTGACATTTTATTGATGTGAATATTGACTATGCCTTGTAAACACAGTATGTAATCTTACAATATTAATCGATTTTTTAATTATGTGAAAAATCGAATTATCGGCAAATAAAGGAATCAGCAAAGAACGAAAGAAAACTCAATGAAAATTCATCAGGGCAGGGTAATTTGAAAAAATAAACAATAAAAAACAAAAATACAACTTCAACACCGATAAAAATTGGAAAAAAGTCATATTCATGGCAACGCAAAGTAAAAGACAGTGGAAGAAATAACAGCAAAGCAATCGAAATAGATTCCAAAGAAAAATTGTGAAGAAATTGCATTAGTTTGCGCAGCAGGCGAAGGAGAAACACACAAATATCAACACTAATTAAAAAAAATTAACGTGCGGTGACAAGCAGACAAACAATTTAACAAATTCGATTAAATCACCAACATTTACTTGGGCTTGGTTGCACATATTTAAAGGGAGCGATGAAGACCATTGAAGAAATTAAACAAGAGTTTCCACTGCACTGGCATGTATGGCAAAATAATGTAGAGGAATTACGAGAAATCCTGAAGAATGCAAAGGTAAGGATTTTGGGGTGGTGGGGCGGTAGGGACAGATAATTCCGTCTTGCTGGAACATATATAGCACAATAACAACATCAAAAAGGATGTGGTGCTGTTGTTTGTGTGTTGAAGTAAATTAAGGTTTCCGGGTCAATAGTAAAATGACCAAAACAACCACCTTTAAATATTTGCCGTATTATGACCGACCCCTTGCCTACCTTCTTTCTTCGTTGCAATTCATATTTTGTTGTATCATCTTTTCGTTTAGATTGATAAGGAAAAAGTCGATCCCAGAGGCCGAACCCCACTGATGTTAGCGGTGAAATTGGGACATTTACAATGTGTTAAAAGCCTGCTAAGCGCCAAATGTAATGCTACTTATGAGCATGAGGGATGGTCAAGTATGTGTTGATGATTAATATAACACCTGCATGCAAACAAGCAACTTGACAAACTTTTGTTTTTTTTTTTTTTTTCAGTTGTCCAAGAGGCCGTATGTACGGGTAATGAAGAGATATTGACTGCCATTTTAGAGGTACGCGATTTACAACGTCATGTCCAGCGGGTAACACATGTCCCCAAGTTATTGCAACATTTATTGGATGCTCCAGACTTTTACATCGAAATGAAATGGGAGTTTACGTCGTGGGGTAAGTTCACCGGCAATAAACAATGTATTGTGTGTTAAATTCGATAGGTTTATAAACATGACGTGTAAATTATTCAAAATGATTCACAACCTACTACGGCGAAATGCTGAAATTTGTACAGCGATTAGGTTACGTCCCTCATATAACGCAAGTATTTGATTTGTTAGAAGCGTATGTAAATGATATGGGTTCGTAATGTTCCGAAAATTCTTATAAAAAATCAGAGCTGGCGAGCTTTTGAAAGCATGTACATATTTACATTTAGAATACTTAATAACGTATTTACGTTAAATTATTTAGTAAAGCATTTGCTTTGCATTAATGTCCCACAATAAAAGCTATTAATGTAAACTTTTTAATGTGGGTCATTAATTAATACTTCCATTTCGTATCAACTTGTTACTCCAAAATAGACATAATCCGATTTTGTTTTTATAAAAGAAAAACTCTTAGCTATTTTGAAATAACAATTCCTTTAATGGTATTTCAGTTCCTTTGATGGCACGACTCTGTCCAAGCGATACTTACCGAGTATATAAACGCGGAGCAAATGTTCGTATCGATACCACGTTACTGGGGTTCGATAATAATACGTGGCAAAGAGGGAATCGCTCCTATATTTTCAAAGGGTCAAGTAAGTATAAATACACATCTTTCTTAAGCATTGAATTTCATATAAATTTTCAATAATTTTTTCTGCAGATGAAAGCGCCACAATGATAGAAGTTGATCATGATACACGTGAGGTTATGATTGAACAAATGAATTCAGAGATTGGTGACATTATAGCAATACCACCACCGATTGGTGGGGTGAAGGCTCGTCTGAATGCGCCGGTCATTACGAATAGCATTGAAATGGAGAAGATCAGTTTCGAAAGAAATAAATCGGGCATATGGGGATGGCGAAGTGAAAAGTCAGAAGTGATAAATGGCTACAATTGCAAAGTATATGGTGCAAGTAATGTAGAATTTATAACCAAAACTCGTATGGATCATTTGACAGAGGAGCAAATTAAGGTTAACTAAAATGCCCGTTTTCCTTTTGTATTATAAATAATTAACTCACTCCGTTAATAGGCCAAAACATCAAGAACGCCCTTCCATAACTTTTTGGGATTAGCCGAAGAGGAGTATATATCAAGTCCAGATTTAGCCAATTTAAGGGAAAGGGTAAAATTCGTAATTAATATTTCAAAAATATTAAATAACATTGTATTGCCTTTGCAGACTCCAACGCCGCATACTGAGGAGCATAATGAAAACGGCGATGAGGCCTCCAACAGCAATAGTTCCAATAATTCCGGTTCCAGTTCACCCAGGACTGTTATAACCCCCCAGGAATACTTTTCCAATGATGTCGACTTGGGGACTCGTGATATAGGACGACCAAAAAAACTAAATACCAAAGTAACATAACTTGAGATAAAGTCAATTGATCTTTATAAGCTAAACTATTTTGTTTTACAGATACAACGTTTTAAGGCAAATCTTTGGCTCTGTGAAGATTATCCAATGCGTTTACAGGAACAAGTACTTCCAATTTTAGATCTTATGTCCACCATGGCCAGCCCGCATGTGTCCAAATTAAAAGACTTTATTACAATGCAACTGCCTTCCGGTTTCCCAGTTAAAATTGAGATACCCTTATTTCATGTTCTCAATGCGTGCATCACGTTTGGCAATGTCTTTGGCATGACCACACCGGTGGAGCATGTTACGACAATTAATGAAGATGATCGCATTACATGTATAGTGGATGATGTGTGTTTTAATGAACCGCTACACTACACCAAAAAAGGTGGGTTAGTTCTGATTTAGTATTAGCCGTCCAGCTCACATATATAACTAATCTAATTTGTATATCACTTCGTTGATAGGAGCAGACGTAAGGCGCCAAATGCCATTAGACGAAGACGATATGCTGCAATACGCCATTGAACAAAGTCTGGTTGAAACAACAGGTGGAGCATGTAGTGTACATAATTTGGAAAGTTCCTCATCCTCAGATAAAGTAGATATTTGGGAAGCTCTTAGAGGCCAAGGTGTTGGGGCCGAAGATGAAGAGGATGAACAGCTTCAAAGGTAAATTATGGCAAGGTGTTTAAATGGGAACAATGGGAGGAATGTTGAAGGGATGTGATTATGGATTTATTTGTTGGTATAGGTTTTGTAAGATAAATGACTCTACTTTCTTCAAATATTTTGATAAGAGAAGAGATTATGGTATAATGACATCAAGACATTTATCGATGTAGTAAAGTTAAGCTGCTTACCTTTTAGAGCAAAGGGCTATCCCGTTTCCCCTTTGCTCTTAAAGGTAAGCAGCTTAACTTTACTACATCATTTGCATTTGAGTGTTTGAATGATTAGTAAATTAAAATATTTTCCAAGGCCTAGATAAGGTCGACCAAGAAGATTATTTTTGACAACAATTTGACATAAACTTTGTAGTTGTTACACTATTCTGACTTGACTCTCTTAGACTTTCAAATCACAATATGTCTTTTGACAGCAAACTTGGTTGGCAGATGGGCTTTCTGCCCGACCTTAAATAGGCCTTGACCTTTCTTTACAGTTCGAAATCTGTGAGGCCATGATTTTTTATTTTGATGATTTAAAAATGTTTAGACTATTTGTATTTCTATTTCAACTGCATGTCTACTCAGTCAGAGGCCTACTAATTATTTCTTTAAAACGCTTACATCTTTTTAATTATTGCTTTGCTTCCACAACACCAATGCCAGATTGACAATCAATAAAACAAACAGTCAGAAAACCACGCCCACACGTTTGGCACCACCAACATCATCTTCATCGCAATATTCTAAATCATCTCCGACATCACCAAGAAACCGTCAAAATATGAATTCGCAAAATTTCAAAAACGATATGAACTACATGAAAAACATATTCAAATAATCTATTTATTTTGTAGATGTAGCTTTTATTATGAATCCCCTTGTCACCTATTGTGCGCCTGTAGATCATGTATTGCTATCTAGTAGTAAAATCCCCAACCTTTTGCTTTCAATTTCTTCCTCCTAGAGTGCTACAAGAATCGTTGTGTGCAGTCAACTTGGCAAGTTCTCCAGCTTCGGATGACGATGATGGCGGCTTTAAGTACATTGATCCGGATTTGGCGCTGGCTCTGCGGCTGAGCCAGCAGGATCAGCAGCAATATGAATTGGAACGCAAACGCGAACAGGAAATGATAGAGCAAGCTTTGAAATTAAGCTTACAAGAACACTAGATGATGGGTTTTCGTATTCAACTTAACATCACTAAGTTGCTTTTCATTTATTTAACGTTTTGTTATTTGTTTAAAACAAACAACAATTGTTGTGATTTTTGAGTTCTTCTCTGAGACGTGTCCTTTTAAAATAAGTATATAATTATGTTTTAATTTAATACAAAAAAGAGTCATTTCAATTAATTGCCACATATAATTTTGGTAATTTATATATTTTTTGTTTATAAACATACCTAATTTATGCCAAAATGTCTTTATTTGCAAATTTATGTTTATTAAAATCGTTATGTAAGATCTTATAATTAAAAAAAAGAAAAAAAAAATATTCAAAACCCAATTATATACACTAAAAAATATATATACTTTTGTATACTTAATTGTAGCAAACGTATATGAATTTACACATATATGTTAAACATATTAAATAGAACACATTCACATATATACGTACCACTACAAAAAGAAAAAAACCATACACATACACAGCAGAGACTTCTTATTAAGATCGTAACATTTCGCAGTGAAGAAGAAGACGAAATCTAAAATAACTATACTATCACTTTATTTTAATTTGTTATGTTTACTATATAGAGAAGTAAAAAAAAAAAGAAATAATGAAAGTGAAAGAAATAAATCAATACCATACACGAAAATATCAAATGGTTTGTGTGCGTTTTTGTTATAATCCCAAAAGGTAGTATCCATTGCGAATTCCAAATACCAAGTTTAAAAAAATTCCGGTGAGGGTATAAAAAGTGATCTGTAGAGGATATAAAAAGTGACCTAGAAGTTGGCCGTTCATGATCGTATTTTAAATTTTCCATTTTGCTTCACAGACTTATCAACATCCAAACACATATATTCGAATCCTACTTTTGAAAACTAGTTACTTAAAAAAATAAAAGCACTTTAAAGTTTGCGCCAATTTGCACAACAAGTAGGGTACAAAAAATGCATGCATGATTGGAGGAATTAGGTGTGTCTGGTTACTTTTCCTGCAGGATTTGTCCAGCATCAGGTGTGTCTGGTTACTTTTCCTGCAGGAATTGTCCAGCAACATCTTTCTGAGAGAGTAAGGTAGTTTTACTCTCTTTTGCAAAAAAATTGCGAAAAGTAAACAGACGGTATTCCTGCAGAAGCTTGCAAGTAATCAGCTGATTTGTCAAAACAAACCAATTTGTCCCCCATTAAAAGAATTAAACGAAAGGAACCACCACCAATTTCACAAGTTTTATAAATAAAAAGGAAATTGACAATAAAATTAAAATATGAGCAATAAAAGGAAGATCGATTTGATGTGTTTCGCGGAATTCTTTAAACCTGTTACTAATGGCATTTGTCTAAAAATGTTGGAAATAGTCTTTTATTTTCTTATTACATATTAATATTTATGTTTTTCACATTTTGCAAATTTGTTCTCCAAAAACAATTAGTCTTGTTAATTCCAAAACAATATTTTCAAATTAAAAGCACAAAAAGGAATAAATAAACAATAGAAAACATCTGATTGAATGTCGATGAATGAAATGAGATGATGTAAGAGATTGCAAGAAGAAATTTGTCCAGCAAGAATTTGCAAACTCTCACTGAAAGAACTGTCAAAATTTCTCTCTCCAACCGCTCTCTTTTGCAGAACTTTCGGGTTAACAGACGACTTCCAGTAACAATTTGTAAAAATTGTTACAAATTTTAGGGTAACCAGACACACCTATTATCTGTCGAGAAAGATGCTTTCCACGGGAATTCCGCTTAGAATTTTATTTTATTTTTGAGTTTTAATTTAATAATTTGCCATTTATGATGGCATTTTCATACTTTTTCACAAACTTATCAATGTTCAGTACATGTATTCGAATCCCAATATTGTTTATTATTTGGTTTAAATTTCTTAAATTTATAAAAAACGCAGTTCAAAATTTGCGTCAATTTGCAAAACATACAAGTTACGAAAAAGACCAATTAACGTTGTCATATTCTCAAATTATTATCGACTGTTTTATTTGTAATAAAATCCCAGGACGCTTCTTAATTATTCATGATTGGAGGAATTATCTCCCGAGAAAAATGTTTTCTACGGGAAAAGAAGTCCATACCGAAAGTTTTTCTATAAAGTTTTTATTAATTAAAAAACCCGTCAAAAAACGTTTTTTCAAAGTTGCTCAATATTTATTAAAAAATGCAATTGTCAACTGTTTCATCTGTAGTGAAATCCCAGGGGACTTTATTGTTCAGGATTGGATGAATTATCTCTCGAGGAAAATGGAAATAGAATTTAATCCGGATATTCATGATTGCCCTGATTATAATATACAATGTTTCAAAATATTTTTGCATATTAAAAAAAGCCACAAAAAAATTGGCCGTTCACGATCACTTTTTCAAACTTATCAATGATCGCAAATTGTTTCTATAGAATTATTGAATGAATTATATATCGATAAACTTGAAAAGATATCATAACTAATGAAATTCAAATCAATATGTATGGTGATTGGCATAGATGTATTTTCCTTATAGAAAACTAATTAAAGCTAGGCTCTAAACGCTCATTGTACGTATAACTCCAGCCACAACGTTTAACGTGCAACGTTTGATCAAATTATTTTCTATCATTCATTCCTATGCGCTTGTATTCCACAGATATCCACGCATTTACTAAATCATTTTTCTCGAGAATCATGAAAAATTGAGGAGAAATAATTTGTGAAGATGGCAACGCGAATTGGTCTTTTTCGCATCTAGTGTATCCTATATGTTGTTCAAATTTTAAGTTCTTTTGTTTTTAATTATTAATTAATAAACATATTTACAACATAAGAATTCAAAAGAATTGAAATGTATGTGTGTGTAACCTAGAAGTTTGAATATACGATATTAAATGGCAAACTTCATGAGCGTTTATCGGTCGTTTTTTTTTCAATAAATTATTGGAATAAAGCAAAAATAATTGAAAACACTGTTCATTAAAAAAAAAACTAAAAATACGGTATACATTTTTTTCAAAGTTAATAAATGATTATATGATGTGTTCGAAAATAAATTCAAAAGTGATTTAGTTTTTTACACTATAATCATTTTGTTAATTTACCTGTTCGAATTTTATATTTGGATTGAGAACAAATAGAATTACAAATGTTCCAATTTCTTTACAAACTTCGAGAGAAATCGTTGTTTATGATAGCAAAAAAAGAAATGGAGAATATTTCCTTAGGAAGAAATTGTTATTCAAAGTTGGACTGAATTTTAATGAAGATAGTTCTTTCGATCCCATTTATGTACATTTTTAAGCTCCCCCCCCCAACAATTTGTAAGTTTAAGACAAATATTAATAATACTATATAATAAATTAATACTATAAAGCGTTTCTTTGTAGTGCAAAAAACTGTGGGGAACGCCTAAAAGTATGCCATAAAATAGCAAAGACAAATGTGGAATGTAACTCCACAAACGACATTAACGTTGACTATGTGCTGAAAAAGCAATTAATATTAAAATTCCATATTTTATTTTAATTTTTTAATAGGTTTTATTTTATTTGGAATAATAATTAAAATGGCCACATAATAATCATATGTGCATATACATAATTCTAAAAGTATACAAATAAATTTGGGGGAAAATTGTGTTGATAGGATATTTCGATACTGAATTCAGCTTAAATTATTGTCAAAGGAATATATCAAATTAAATTATAAACAAAATTAGAAAGGCATTTTAAGTACTGCTGTAAAAACAATTGAAAACTATTAAATATGGTAACATAAAGACATTATTTTAAGGCTAAAGTAAAACAAGAGGTGGGTTATTGTTTTAAAGCAATGTAAAAGAAATAGCTGCCACAGGAGATGTAGAGATATAGAACGATAAACATATTATGGATATAATCACAAATATTTCACTAAAAATGGAATTAAATTACAATTATAATATTTGTCTATACAATAATTAGCTAGCAAATGAAAATACATGCAATTAAAAACAAAAAAAAAAAAAACTATTTTTTATGATATTGTTGAATGACTCACAAATAATGATTAATTTTGATATCAATTTGGAATTGGGGAAAATATCTTGGTTTTTTAGTTTCTTAAATTTGATTGGATGGACATTTCTTTTGCTCTTAATTGTAGACTTAAAGATTTTTAATACAATTTCCATAAACTAGGAAAATAAAACAAAAAAAAAAAAAATATATAATGGATAACAGAATGTATATGTTTGTGAAGCTCATTTGCCATATATAAAAAACGTAGTGATAATAGCAAGTTTTTTGATTTGTAAAATATATATTATAAAATTAATACATGTTTGTATATGGTATGTACATAAAAAATTATTGTATAAAAATGTTTTCAATTTGTTTACACTATGATTTGTATGATTGATTGAATAACCTATAAAATAATTGTTAAAATTCTTAACATACATTCAAAATTATAACTAATATGACACATTGCTACAAAAAGCCTTAAGGAATAGTTTTAGCTTTTTTTGTTTTTATTTTGTTTATCTTATAAACTAAAATTTCGTTTTTGTAAAATTTATATTTTAAAATTATTGCACCTTAAGTATAGCTTAGTTATGAATATTATCTTTTTGTCGAAATATTGTTTAATTGTAATAACGCACATCACTTGGTGCGAAATAAAAATTATTCTTCAATTTGTTGAAAACTTAATATTAAGCTGAGTTAGTTTTGTTTAGTTCGTTAATCTCGTATATAATTTAAATATACTTAAAGCATTTTTGTTTGTCGTGTGGTATACGGGTCTTGAATAATATCGAATCGGCTCGATATTGTGTATTTAATAGCGGTGTGTAACCAAAGACCTGAAATAAAAAATAATCATTAAATTAATATAAATTTAAATATTCCATATTAAACATACCTGGGAAAAGAAATTTATACATCTATGTCGTTCCTGAAAATGAGTATCATCTTCACTCAACGATACGGGACATCCTGGACACCGGAAAGTCCAACGGGATGTTACCTTCACAGGAGGCTTTCGAGTTATGTGCGATACAAGGAAATTCATGGCAATATCTTCACAGTTCATATACTCGTCGACTTTGTCACGGATTGCCTGTGGCAATTGATATGTATACAAGTACATATAGTATTTGTGTATGAAGGCAGCACCAGTCAAAACCATACTTAATTCACAGCTATAATTCGAATTGTAATTCCAATGGTGATTATCATTCAAATCCCAGGCATGAAAACGTCCCGGAAAACCAACAACACGATCACGATGTTCCCGCCACACACGAAAGCCAAAGAGTATTTCGTCATGTCGTAGATGGGCATCATCGTCAACGGACAGGACGGCCTCTGTTTCGATGACATCGTAGGGTAGGAAGCGATTATTCAGAGAGTTGCGAGGAGCTCTAACGACTGCTACAGGTACGCCTATATCTGGCCAACGTAAATCATCTAATGGTGGTTTAGGTGAATTCCACACCACCACAACTTTGTGCAAATAAGGCAATCCGTAAAGTCTTCCCAAGGAATCCATTAACACTTGTTCCCGTTCATATGTTAAAATCACAATGGTAAACTGCTCTCTAGGATAGTTGCCACCCAAGGCCTCACTGAACTCCTTGCCAGCACCACCACTTCCCTTGCCAATAGGACGGAAACCCATGTGTGAACCCATAAACTTGGCCTCAGAGGGTAGTACAGGATCGAAAGGCAACTGAGGATACATATAAAATGGATCCACCTGTTCCACAAAAAAATAAAAGTTAATAAAACTTATAATTTCTATTATTCTAATCTTACCCAATCGTTCCAGGCCTCCCTTGATTGCATTCTTAATATTGTGTAATTACGCTTGAAGGCTGGACTTGGATATGGTGGTTCCATGGGACCCAGTGACTCCTCGGGTTCGGTATCCATACCCACTGGCGGATCCGATTTCAGAGGGATAAATGTATTGTTGAAAACACTTTGAGCTATTACTGGCGGCACTGGCCTGGGCGGTATACCCAAACGATCACGCAAACTGGCTATTACCGTATCAACTGTTGCCTGTACCGAACTTAAATAGCGTTCCCAAACCAAGCGACCTTGCCGGCGCATTAACAACAAATCACCATCCTGTATGGCTCTCAACAAAAAATGTAATTCCGTAATGCGGGCTTTCGGCAACAACAAAGCCACTCTACGCCAATCTATTGTTTCACTATAGGGCAGGCGTACCTCATCGGCTCCCAGAATGACGGGTATTGCTCCCGACCGCAGAGCTTCATAAAGACGAGCAAGCATCAGAGTAGAACTAACTCTTCTTTCTAAGGGTGGTAGGATTAAAGCGAATGTGGAATCCTTTAAAATCTGTTTGCGCGACGAATCAGTGCCGCATAGAGCCCAATCAACAACAGCATTTTCATCTTGTTGTTCTGTTGCTGGCACACATTTAAACTGTAGAAGGAACTTGTCTAGTGTGGGACCTTTGGCCATTTCTGTAAGATGGTCCAATATAAAATCATCCAAGGGATGGGGCGATTGTAAAGGCTGATTCAGGGGGCGCAGTTCGCCTTGGAATGAAAGAAGATAGGCTCGTCTAGCGGGCACCATTGCAGCACATTCTTGCCAAACGTCACCGCCTGGTGGGCCCAAAATAGGTGGTACTATCAAATCGTAGTTTTGTCTGAATTGTATTGCCTCAAACGATGACTGTACCACAATGGCACGCATAGTATTCTGATTGAGTAGAGCATTTGTGGATTTAGAATTGAGATTTCTTCTGGCCAAATTCAGCAGCACATGATTGCGACCATCTCCACCCCAATATGGCAGCTTGTAAATTTTGTTCATATCAATAGCATTGTATTTCTCTGCTCCATACACTGAACTACTTTTCTCCTTTTCCTCTTCCTCTTGGGCGGCATATCGATTGTTTTTCAGCGATTCACTTTCATACAAAGCTTCACCAATCAATACCAAGTATATACAGGCCTGCTTGGGATCCCTGACAATATGGGCATTGTATCCCAAGGTTTGTTTAATGGTTGTACGTAAGAAGCCATCGATTTCATAGCCTGGCTTTAAAACACTGTAGCTATCTGGGTCATACAAATAAACGGGAAACCCCGAGGTTAGACTACAGCGTGAGTGGTCAAAACAATTGTGCATTTCACATGTGACCATCGTTTGCAACGAAGTGGCAGGCATATTGCGAGGTAAGGCATTTGGATATAATGTGCGTGGCAATGCCAAGTCGGGAGTGTTTCTCTGCACAGCTTCTTTTTGGGCGACTTGTGCCTGTTCCACAGATATTTTCAATCTCTCCAATTCAGTTTGTTCACGCATCAAATCTTGTTTGAGCTCTTCGATTTTTTGATTATACTGACCAATGTCAGATTGAAGTTTTTGTCTACGAGCTTCCAACTCTCGCAGCTCGATGGAAACGGTGCTCTATGAAGGAAAAAAAGTTGTTATCTCAAAAAGGTCACACTGATCATCTACTCCACTAACCTTTATTCTGAGCAGCTCTTCTATTCTCATTTTCAAGTCACTCGCACGCATAGAGCTAAAGTCTTCATAGGCATCCAGAAGAGGCCGTTGTCTATGCAAATCCAATTGCGGAACATCACTGTCGGGCTGCAAAGGAAGACGTATTACAACACAATGTGATTTAAGAGTTAACACCCTGCTACTTACGTTCAGAAGATTTCTGTGAGCAAATAAAGGCAACAGTACCAACAACAAAAGTATCAACAATATGCTCTTATAGACCCGATAATGTCTACCACAAACTACGGAAATGAAACCGCTCAGGGAAATTGTTGTTGGCGATGATGATGTTGCTGATACCATTGCTGCTGGCGGCTTTTCGCCCGAGTCTACTTCTAACAAATGATAAGTGCTGCTATTTGATGAAGACGATAAATGAGCCTGGTTGTGTCCCGCATTGCTTGAGCTCATTTTGTTCAGTTGTGTTTACCGTAGAAAGACTTGCTAGTCCACAAGTCTTTTCCCGTCGTCGTATCTTATTAACATGAGTCCGTTTTCATGGTAATTGATTAAAAAGGGTTGCGTTTCTATATTCCAATCAATTAATCAGAAAAATCACTGCAGAGTGGTACGAATGAGAAGACAATAATGGAATGGTCGATAAAAACGAGCAATTGATTGAAATTCGTCAGTCTGGCAAAGACAACGGAGTCGAATAAGTCTGGCGGCGGCAGAAACGAGAATACAAAGTTTCTGTTAGAAAATCGCCGCTTCCGAAGATATAACAACAACAGTAAACATGATAAAGATCGAAATGAAAACAAAAACCCGGACTATTAGGAAGGTTTGTGAAGATCGAAATTGGTCAACAGCTGATCACTTAAAATGAAGTGGGGTATACACTATCAGTTTTGATTGGTTACTTTGCATTTGTTGTTGGTTGCGGCAGTTTTGTTATTTATGTATCCAGGGCATCAATGTGAAATGAAAACATTTATAAAGGGTAGAAATGTCAAATGAAAAATTTGATAAAGAAAATATTTTTCACTTCTTATTTTCATAAAACAAGAATCCAGCTCTAGGACCACATATCAGATTATATAGAGCAATATATGGTTTTACTTTTGGAAAATCAATATTTACAGAGATTTTGGGACTATAATGCTCTGTAGTTAACATTGAATTATTATTAATGTAAAAACCAACGATCTAATTTATATTCCCAAAGAAGTCATCATTTCGAGATATGGGCCGCAGTAATAGTAATTGATAATAACATTCTTATTTATGGGCATATTTTGGAATTATATACCGATTCTGATGCCTGCTTAAAATTTTTAAATCTTCTTTAGAAAAGATATTATGAAATTGTTATTAGAGTTTTATATTTAAAATTGCTCTAGCGGGTCCGTTTTTTTCTAAATTAAACTACCATTTATTCTACCATGGATAGAACATCACCTTTTTATTGTGTCATAATTCTATCTATATATCCCTACAGATGATTGCATCAATTGCATTTCCCTATGTCTCATTCGTAAACAAAACAACAACCTGTCGATGATATTTTTATGTGTACTTTGGACTATTCTCCGATAATACACCTTTAATTCCGATATTGATCTCATAGACAAGAAGGTTACTGAAATTAATAATTTAACCAAGATATGTGACAGTGAATCGTGTTATCATTTTTCAGTGATTAGAAAGAGTTATCATTTTCAGTGATTGAATTGCTTTGCTCTGCCGCCGAAAAAATATATTTGGCTTCGTTGTTTGTTCATTTCATGTTTTGTTTTGAATTATCCGCCAGGAACAGGAACTGAAATTGTTAATTGTTGTTTTGTATTAATTTATTGTAGAATACTATATATATTTTGTGTCTATTTTAAATTGTTTTAACACAAATCATTGCAATGTCCTCGGGAAGCGGTAAATTGCCTTTGGAAACTCAAATTGTACGCTTGGGCGAAAAACATAACATTTCACAACTTCAACTGCTAATCGAGCAAACTTCTGCCAAACAGGTGTGTGAAGAAGTCTTGGACAGTCCAAGACATGGTTTCAGCATACATTATTTACAAAATATAAATGCAAAATCTCTTTGCAGCTCACAACGATACTATCGAATAAATTGGGAAGAAATGACTGTACCACACTATGGAACTATCTACTCCAGGGCTTTAACCCGAACAACCATGATTCGAGAGAAAAAAGATTTGCCTGTGTGAAGTGTTTTCTCGATGGCCTACTACGTGTGGAACTAACCTATAAACAAATGTATGACTTAATTACCCGCTTGTGTCAGGATTTGAATACCTTTCCTAGCGATCAATTAGTTGAAATATTGGAGCATTGTATAGATGGTCTGCGTATGGGCGATCCAAAATGTGTGGGTTGGAAAGACCTTTTGCCAGAGACATTGAATGTACTGGCCACAATGCCTCATTTCAATGTCAATGGAATAACAATGAGCGGTGCCGAATATCGTGATACCACAGTGAAAAATCTATGTGCCATGAAATGGCCCAACGAGGTGATGACACCCATTGCCGATATGTTTAAGTAAGTTGAGGAGTGAATAAATGTATAACGCGTTTTAATTGTATTTTTTTTTTGCAGAGAACTCCATTTAACACCGGGTGAAACTCTTAAAGTTTTGAACAAATTTTCTGGTTGTCTTCAATCGATGTCTCCCGATGCATTGCCTGCTTTAAGTTTCCAATTGTTTTCTATGTGCTCGACCGCATCTCAAATAATTATACCAATCTTGGCACTTGAGAAATACTTCCATCGTTTTTATTATAAAAAGTTATTTGACGATATGAGCAGCAATTCCACTGATTTTGATAGTATTGGTGGGTTTTAAAAAGTATAATGTTTAGAATTTGTATCTAAACTCTCTTATTGGTTTGTTTTCAGATGCATTTTCCGATCGAGAATTGCGTGAAGCTGAAGAAACCATATTGCATCATTTGAATTACTGTACCCAATACAAAATCAGTGAAATTCAAATGTCCATTGTACTAAGGGTAAGTAAAGTGGATCATGAAAAATTTGAATCTAAAAATATTTTGAATTTATTCTTATTTAGAATTTCTTGGCCATGCCGGATGTAATTTTAACACCCTTTGTTATAAGTGCCATACTCTCAGTGTCCTCTGCAAATCGTGAGCCCGATTCGCGTCTTTCTTCTTCTGTGTTGTTGCCTTTTTTACGTAGTGTCATTAGACACAATCACGATGAGAATGTCCTGTCCGAATATTCAGTGTGGTGTCGTGATAGTCTACAAAGAAAACATGTCGATTTGGAACAAATCTTTACTGTGCTCATCGATCAAAATAAAGATGGCAAAGACACCATCACCCCGGGTCTGGTAAACCTGGCCTTTGTTTTACTAAAAGCAAAAAATAGTCCAGCTCTTAATCAATTGGCGATTAATTTCCTAACGAAATTCATTAGAAAGCGTTTTGTGTTTGGCCAGGGCATTATTAAAAAACTGGCCGAATGGATGGTTGTTGAACAGGATCAGAATCAATTTTCAGGCATGTAATTATTATTTCTTTCTTTTTTAATCTAATCATTTTTGTAATTCTTACAGAATGTTTGACTGTGTTAAGTGTTGCCGATACGTTTACAGTTTCGGAATGCACAAAAACCATAAACTATGTCCTAGATTACTTTTTGTGGGTAAGAGTTATTAGTCATCAAGTTTCTGTTTTAAATATAACTCTTCTGCGCACCTCAAATTACTTTCCTTAAAATATGTATTTTACAGTTGCCCGGAGATCAAGCTTTACGAATGATGTCTTTCATTTTACCAATTTTAAAAATATCTGCCCTAGTTAGAGATGCTTTAATAGAAGTTCTACGTAAAGCAATGTGTTCCAGGTGAAATACTATCTATCTATGCACATTGATGATGTTTTTAATGAATTCTAATTTTTTTACGATCACAGCGAAATGAAGACACGTCGTATGGCTGTATATGGTTTTTGCATGATTTTGAAGCAGCTGAACAATAGCAACTCGCAACGTTCACAAATGAATGCCTCTGGAATGTGTACTCAACATAGCATATCCGGCTTCTCGCTGATGTCTCAACTGGGCAATCGCGCTAATCCACAGCGGCATTTCGATATGTTAACTTTGGAAATTATTGGAGTGTTAAGAAATTGTTTTACCCAATCGTTGGACATTAAAATATGTTTATATGAAAGTAAATAGCAAATGATTTATATATTCTGCAGACATAATGCATTATTTGTCCTTTTGCAGATTTACAACGAGCTGTGGATTTGAATCCAAAATTAGTACCGCACGTTTTGCAATTTATAGATTGGCATTTCCGATCATTTTTCGTTGCACCAATTGAAGAGGATGAAGACAATCAATTCTCCGTGAAATTCGAGAAAATTGTCTCTTCCAAAGATTTGCAAGAGAATGAAATCGAAATCCATGATAATTTGGGACAACTTTTAATATTTGTCACTCAGTGTTTGGTTATATTTGAAAAATACGAAACAGAGTATGATACGCGGGAGATAAAACGTCTTATCAAACTGTTACTGGAAAAGGTTATTGGAAAGCACATTAAGTTTGAAGATATGGTAGGTATATTTCTCAAGTTTTCAATGTCATTACTAAAACTTATGTTGTTGTCTTTTCAGAATGGTTCTCTAACACATCTTAAGAATGAGCTTATATTGCAACAATTAAATTTCATAGAAGGTCTAATGACATACAGCCTTCTTACTTCAAAGCAAACCAATGATAACGTTAAACATCTTCTACCCTTATTCAAGCAACATGAACATTTAACGGAAGGCCTTAAGGTATGTTTAATATTTAGAGTAAACTTGATTACAAACTCAATTTGGATTTTTTTCTAGTCCTTATCCAACAAAAAGGGTCCCAAGAAAAATAAAGGTGATAACGATGTAACAAATGTTACCATCAATGGAGTATCAGTTAAAAAGATCCAATCCCAACCTGAGAATATATGGGATTTAAATATTATTGAGAAGTTGCTACGGCTGTTGCATGAGTAAGTTCTAAATATGGTTATGTTATAGTTTTTCTTTATCTATTATTTGTTTTCTTCCCTCAGGGATATTGTTCCATTTGCTGCACGTCATAATACTGCACCTTTACGTTCCCATGTTGCACTAGTACGTTATGTACTAGAGGTAGCAGCTGCTAAAGTAGCACAAATACGTTCTGAGCCAGCTTACAAGCAATTATCACACAGTAAACGTACTCTGAAATATGTTACCGATATTACTAAAGTCGTCTATGAACGTTGCATAAAACGTTTACCAGATTTATGGCGCAATTTTGATATGCAAACAGCTTCCTTGGCTATGGAATGTTTCCGTCAATGTTTGCAGACGGCCAATGAAGTTTATAAATCAAAATTTCAATCAATTTACATTAGAGGATTTGACTTCCATACTCTTGATAAGAGTAAAGATGTTATTTCCACTTTACAAGATGTAATGGATGAATTTATGAAAGAGGAATACTCCGAGGAGACAGATCAAAATGAATCGCTACTGAGCGACACGAATGGGCGTAAAATTCCCCTTAACTTATTTCTGAGTTTAGAAGTTTTGTACGATAATATATCCTTCGGCAGCCGTTTGACCATAGAATCGTATAATTGGTTGTTGAAATTTTGCAAGTCCTATGAAATAAAAGAAAAAGAGTTGGGTGTCGTTCATAAGTTGTTGTTTAAACAACGACAAAAGACCCATTCTGGAGCATTTTTTCAAGTTATACCAGAGCATTTGGGAAAAATTTGGTCATATGTTAAAGATGATGAGGAGCATGTGGTGAGTTTTTGCAGACAAGTAAAATACATATGTACATTTGTTGTAAATAAATAATTTTCTTTGTAGGATCCCGGAACGCAATCAAATATTCTATTAAAATCAATAACCGATGCAACAGCTGAGTCCTGTCTGCAATATTTGTACGAGACATTACGAAAACAAATTGAAGATGTTGACTACTTTATTATCAAGGCCAATAATTTGGCCTATAAGTGTCGTATTGTACCCGAAGATGATCGAGATTTTTGTTTGGCATCTCTCAAGTCTCTTGAGAGATCAATATCCATGCAACTGGTGCACATCTCAAACACTTTATGTAATCTAACAAATGTTTGCATACCTTTGGGCAACTCCATGGATGGTTTGATGAAGCTTATAATGCAGCATTATATCTGCTTGAAAAATCTGACCAAACATTTTCTGTCATGTTGTTCCGGTGGCATGAATGTGTCAATACGAGGAACAAAGTAAGTTTAATCTACGAAATTATACTTCCTTTGTTTAACCATCGGTTTTTGTTTTACAGATTTGATTCATTGCTTCATGTGGTGGGTAAGCCGCTACCCTCAAATATTTATGCTCTAATCACCTACATTGAGAGCAATATTTTGGAAGATAAGTCAAAAAAGAAATCCAATCCCCAAGCAGATAAGGCCAAAGTCTTGAGGGAAACTAAATTCATACCGAAAATAATTCTTTGCATTGAGAATTTTAATAAACATGTTATACTGTTGGCCAAAAAGTCCAATGATCGTTTGGCCAATTACTTACATTTCGGTACGGTAAGAGATTTTCGTATAAAAACGTCGGATCTTAAAGCGGCAATTGATCGGACATTGTCACACAGCAGTCAAATTGAGGCATCAGAAAGTGGTGGTGATGAGGATGCTGAAGTACCTGTTTATGAGGTTGAAGATAATAATGAAACAATACTCAAAGAATTGGAGGAAGATGCCATTGCATCACAAAGAGAGGCAGATAAAGAAAACGAAGGTAATGAGGAAGAAGAAGAGGCGTCCGAAGCCTCATCGAGTCGAAGCAGAAGTTCAACTCCCACCAATGTGATTGGTAAAAGTAGGAAATCACAAAAGAAATCCGATACAAAAACCCAAAAGATATCACAAGTAAAAGAAAAGGGGAAATCGCAAAAGAAAACCACAGAAACCAAGGATGATGCGGAAAAGAAAGCTGCAACATCAAAGAAGGGAAAGACATCAGAAAAATCAAAATCTAAACCCATGGAAATCGACGATGAAGGTGACATAACAATTATCACACCAGATGATGCTGAAACATTGGAACATGAAAGCGATCGAGATTCTTGCACACAACTAATGAAGAATTTGGCTAAAATCAATGCCAAAACTGCCAAAAAGCGTTCGTTACGCGACTCAGAACAACAGGAAGATCCTGATGTTTTGTGTGCACCTCCGCTAGAACCGCTATCGAAGAAATCTAAACGCGGTCGTAAAGCGGGGAAATAAAATGTACAACTGTCTGTTTTGTTAATTTTAATTTGTATTTTGTATATTTTTAATCTGTGAATCAAAAAATGTAAAGATGCAACAATTTTAATTGATCTTATTTTATTTTTTGGCACTATTAAAAAATGGTTGTCTGAAAATGTTCCTTTTTAACTTTTTCTAACTTTTTTATAGCATACTTCTAGGCGCTAGCATAATTGATTGCTATCGGATGCGTCCAAAGGTTGTAGATTGTTAGAAGTCCTTATAGATATATTGGGCAGCTGTGAATGTAATTAGCAGTCGCGAAAAATCAGTGGGCCTGGGGGAGAGCCTCGGTACCCGAGCGCCCATGATACTTAGAGTGGCGAAGCGATGTTTCGGCGCCCCTAAGTTACCACTCCACTCGGAGTGGTAAACAACCTAATTTTAGAAGATAAGAGAATAGAATAAAGAGAAGAGAATGAAATGAATAACGGATAGTGAAAAAGCGAGAATCTGAATAAAGAGTAGAGAAGTTAGTAGGTTTGCATCCACGGTGTATCAGCGTGTCGTCCTTAGCCATTTTAGTCTTCTGGCTAATTGAAGAATGGCCGCTGGCTCGATGTCGAAACTCCTTCTTACATGAACATTAAATCGAGAACGGACAATGATTCTGATTCTTTTACAACTTCAAGTAGAACTACAGGGACGGGAAACTCGGAGCTGACAGTCCTCTGGCCTTACAATTGATAAACGACAGCAGCAGCAACAAGTCAAGTGATTGTAGATATGGGGTCTGCTGGATAAGCCAGTACCGATAAGCCCTTGCTCTCCCGGCAAGAAACAGAAGGAGAACAGAGCAGCACCGCCATAGAAAAAATGAAGGGGTCGCTGAATTCTGCGGTCACCGAAAGTGCCAAATCCTAAGCAAAAGTGAAACTTGTGGAAGCCTCAATCATACGATAATAGCGATAACCTAACGTCAGCGTTTTAACCTTTTCTTAAACTTCCAATTAATTTAATTTCTATGTGAAATGACTTTTTCCTCATTTATCCTTAGCATTTCTGTAGCATACTTTTAGGTGATGTACACATTTTTTATACCCTCAGCCATATGACTCATCATTTGATACGGTCAAAACGTGCCTCATCGAAATAACGGTTTTAGACCCTAGGTCTCTTTGGACAATATTCGTTTCAGGACATTTAGAGTCAATCTCGCGATGTCCGCCCGTCCGTTTGTTTGTCTGTATGTTGGCTGGTGCGCACGATAACTCTTGAAGGGAGTATCCGATTTGATCCAAACTTGGTACATAGTAATATTATTATCAAACTTAGATTGAGTTCGGAGTTGGACAGTATCGGTCTACTCCTTCTGGTACCTCCCCCTCCTCCCAAAGGGTCAAAATTTTGAATATCCATGAAGCTCATGAATCATCTGATTCCATTCAAACTCAATATTTCCATCAACACAAGATCTGTTATAAAGATGGTAGAGATCGGTACCTCCTCTACATAGAGTTCGCTATTTGAAAAAGTAAACGCTCAGAGAAAGCGAAATAAGCATCCAACTCTCTTCAAATTTCGAAAATTGAAGACCACTTGAATGCATTTTTTCTTATTACGATATTACACACCCTTCTTATGGGTCCAATACAAGAACCGCCTAAGTAAAAGGGACTTCACCATTCATCCAAGCAAAAGTCATAAAATTAAAGTTATGTGTTGTAATGTAAAATATGTTTGTATGAATGTGTACCTTTATCTAGAATCCCTGCCGAAGATCTGAGAAACATAATCAAAATTTTAAAGAAACAAAGGGAAATGATGAAGACGAACAACCATTAAATGCACATTGAAACGCTAACGAATGATGACCTGTAAACGATGATGGACATACGCGCGCACACACATATTTCACCATTCAGGTTGATTCTACCTCAAAAATCAACGCAAAGTAAATTACAATTGGCTGGCTCCAAATAAAAGTTTGCCCATTTGTTTTGGGAGAGCAGGAACGTTTAAATTTTATTGCCACAAAACCTAATTAGAAAAGTATCATCACCACCATCTACAGCAACAACAACAACAGCATCATGCACATCACAAATCTTTTCTTTTTTGATTTGATGTAAGTTGTTCTTCAAAAAATTTCTGTTTCACAATTTTTATGACTTTGTCGTTTCGGGGGAGGGTGTTTTAGGTCAAATGGACATGAGGCAACCAAGTGAAACTTTTCACAGTAAGATTCACACAAAATATGGGAAAAAGGACGGAGGAGGGTAGAGAATGAGAATATGAGAAAAGTATTAAAGAGGTACCAAATATCGTACCACTCGTCCCTGAGGCAATTACGATATTTTGCAAGTCGGATCAAAGATATAGTGGGATTTTAAAAAAATTAGCCATAATTATAAAAAAAGCACTAATGGGCTGATTATACATTATGTTACAGTTATACTCTACATATACTTTCACATTTCACATTTTTATAGCATACTTTATGGAGGGTATGTTAAGTTTGTCATTCCGTATATTACGCTTCGAATATATACATTTTAGACCACACAAAGCATATATATTATTGATCCGCATAATACTACGTCGATTTTGCGATGTCCATCAGTCCGTCTGTGGAAAATGAAGTAGTTTGGTTTATTATCGGTCTGCAGGATTTATGGTATTGAATATGGGACATATAGGGCCACGTTTTGGTATGGCTCTCATATATAAGTGTTAGTTTTACTCACAATTTTAACCCGAATTTGCAGTAGAATTGTCCATATAGGTTCAAGTTTTTGTATAGTTCCCATAAAACTGTACCTCCAGATATTCGGAATTTTGATGATTTTTGTCACATTTTTCATCGGAATCGTTTCAAAATTGGTGTTTAGAGTTCGTAATGGGTCCTACTTCATATGGCAGAAAATTTCCTGTACAGATTTACGCCTTCGTATTGGCCCCTTTTAAAAGTATGTCCCAATGTACGGTGTTTTGATAATATTAGCCAAACTTCTCACCGGAACGGTTTCAAATCTTGTACATGGAGATCGTAATGGTGTACTCTTCAATGATAGAAAACTTCCCGCACAGGTCCACGTCTTCGTATAACTGTATCTCCCGGTATTCGATATTTTGATAATTTTAGCCAAATTTTTCACCGGAACTGATTCAAATTTGGAATTTGGAGTTCTCAATGGGTACTACATCCTATAACAGAAAATTGTATATACAGGACAAAGAATTTCTATAGCCACCATAGGGGTACCTCTCACATTTTCACCGGAATTATTTTTAAGTTTTGTTTGTGTTGTAATGTTTTGTTTGATTCTAACTCCAGGTTCCAAAATTCGGCTGTTTTGGCGGGCTGTTACAAAAGATCTTCTGGAGTGAGTGGGATAGATTTGGAAGGGAAATTAAAGAGGTGCAGCGTATTGTGCCGGCCTTAATCACACGCACATCTTTGTCACTTCGTGGCCAATACGAATTAAGACGACTGCAGCATTCTGAACGTAATTGCGTAAACAGGGTTGTCTTTGCAGCCGACGTTATTTAGCTGCTATGGATGGGGCGGGGCGTGGTGTTTTGCTCCGAGGACGGCATTCATACTGTAATTGTAGATGGCACCTGGGACTGCATTAGTGTGTATGCAACTCAGGCATGCCAGATAGACTTCTTGGTCTAGAGGCTTTCTCTTATAGCATTGGAAATCCCTCTCTAGATCATGTATGTCCTTCCTATCACGCCTGGTTGTGGAAGATTTATCCACCATATGATGGTTTAAATGACTCCCACGATAACACCCAATCAGGTACTAAAACGAAAGCATATTGTTATGCTGACGAACGGGAAGGAACTTCGCCTCCTCATGTAGATGATCCACTAGTATCATAAGGTGGCACTATGTCGTAGTTGTCAGGGTAAAGCTCTGGCAGGTCTGGTCTGTTCTGTAGTGCCGCATAGCTGACCGAACTATCTCATTATAAGAGTCAACAAGGTCTCATTGTCCGCACCCCAAGTGCTGTCGTCTAGCGCCTTGAGGACCTTGTTCCTATTTGTACCCTACACCACATAGTGGTAAGGGTATTATGTCGTTGTGCATTTGTTTGTAACATGGAGGAGGAAGCGAGATAGACCCATAGTAACTTTTGAGGATCTTTATAAAATCACTTCTGAGTCGATTGCCTGAATGTCAGTCCGTCTGTCCATTTATTCTTGTGAACAAAATGCAGGTCGCATTTATTATCCGATTGAGATGAAATTTTATAAACAATATTTGTTTGGCCCAAGAACGAACACTATTGAAATTTATGATAATCGGATGAGATTATATATAGCTCCCATATATATTTGCTTCGTCCGATTTCGGGTTAATTGTGCACCAAAAGGCCAATATCAGCCTAAAAGTCCTGAATTTTGGTACATTCGACCGAATTCAGTCTAGAAGTAAGTACATCGAATTTAGTGAAAATCGGTTAGGATATAGCTCTAGCTTCCATATATATCTTTTATCCGATTTGGGACTTTAAGTGCCTCACATTCGTAACATGCACTCCACAAAAATTATATTTGGTACCGGACATCAGATACTGCTCGAAAATATCTCTGTTAAATTTTATCGAGATCGGTTCAGATTAGGATATAGCTCCCATATATATCATTAACCGATTTCGGGTTAATTGTACACCAAATGGTCAATATCAGTCCGAATGATCTGAATTTCGGCACATCTGACCGAATTCAGTCTGGAAGCAAGTACATCAAATTTGGGGAAAATCGTTTCAGATATAGCTATAGCTCTCATATATATGTTTCATCCGATTCCGTGTTTAAATCCCTCACATTCGTATCATACATTCGACACCATGATTTCGGGTTAATTGTGCACCAAATGGCCAATATCTGTCAAAAATTCGGTTCAGATATAGCTATAGCTCTCATATATATGTTTCATCCGATTTGGGATTTTAAGTTCCCCAAATGCGTAATATGCACACTACAACATTGATCTTTGCTACCAAATATCAGATACAGCCCAGAAACACCTCTGCCAAATTTGATCAAGATTGATTCAGATTTGGATATAGCTCCCATATATATCTTCAACCGATTTTCAGTTAATTGTGCACCA